TATAAACCAAGGGGGAGATTGTTGGGTCAAAAATATGGTTTATACTTTGCTTTTCTAAGCATTTATTGTTTTTATTATTTGGGCCAAAAATAGTATAGGATTAATTGTAGCTTGGACCGAGCATTGGATTATTTGTATTTTGGGCTTGGCCTTAGGTCCATATATATATATATATATATATATATATATATATATATATATATATATATATATATATATATATATATATATATATATATATATATATATATATATATATATATATATAGGGTGAGGAGTGCATGTGAAGGATGAACACATAGAATAGAGGAGCTTAAGTGTGTGCATTTGAAGGTGTTCTAGAGAGAGAAAGAGAGAGAAAAGAGAGTGTGTGTAAGTGTGTGTGAATCTTGTATCCGGATCTTCATTCATATCAATACATACAAGATTCATCATCTTCTTCTTCTCCTTCTCTTCTATTTGATCTGACATCATCCGTTTGATTGGGATTCCGCACCATCAAACGGATCTGATTGATACACAAGCAGATTAGGGACTTACAATGAGGAAGACCCGATACCATGATATGCTGAGATCTGACATCAGGGAGTTCGTTATTTTTTCTGCCTGTCCGACTTTGGATGACGTGGTATTCAAGGCGCAGGAGCAAGATATTGATTTGGATCACATAGGGAAGAGGAAGCCAGAGCATGGGAAGACGTTTGGCATTTCAGCGAAGAAACCCAAGGGGTTCGCCTCAAGGTCGAAGGGCCATCAGGGCCGGAGCCGCTGTGGCAAATACGGAAGGTCGCATGATGGGGCTTGCAGAGTGGGTGGTTCGGGCTGCTACAAGTGCAGCAAGACAGGGTACTTTATCAAGGATTACACTGCTGTTATCACCACCATCCAGACATCAGATCTGGTTTGCTTTCATTGCAATCAGAGGGGACACAAGAAGGCCAACTGCTCGAGTTTAGCATCTGGAGGACTAGTGTCCGATCTTTCGTGTCTTTGCGCTCAGCAAGAGGTTTGTTGGAGCTCCGGGTGAGCTGGATCATCCATTAGAGGTTGAGATTGTAGATGATAGATCTGTCCGGGTATGGAGGGTTCATCGGGATTGTATTCTAGAGATGTTTAGCGAGCAATGTCCGATCGACTTGGTTCCCATTCCTTTGCACGGGAACAAGGTTATTGTGGGGATGGATTGGTTGAGCTCCAATGGGTAAGTGACTGATTGTGAGCGTCAGATGGTGCGTGTTCGGACACCAAGCGGGGGAGAGTTGGTGGTACATGGAGAGGGCGCTCCATGCGGGCAGGTCCTATGCCTAGCTGCTAGGGCCAGACGCTATCTTCATCAGGGTTGTTCTGGTTTCGTCGCCTATGTTATGGATTCCCGGGAGAAGGGTAAGGCGTCGGTTGATGATGTGCCGATTGGGCGAGAGTACCCAGATGTGTTTTCGGATGATTTGCTTGGAGTGCCTTCGGAGAGGCAGACGTAGTTCCGGATAGACTTGATTCCTGGTGCGACTCTGATAGCCATAGCACCATATCGGTTAGCTCCACCAGAGATGCACGAGTTGTCTACACAACTGGAAGAGCTGTTAGACAAGAGGTTCATCCGATCGAGTAGTTCCCCTTGGGGTGCGTCGATCCTGTTTTTGAAGACGAAGGATCGGTCGCATCAGATGTGTATTAACTACTGGGAGCTAAATAAGATAACGGTGAAGAACCGTTATCCACTCCCGAGGATTGATGATTTGTTTGACCAGGTTTAGGGTGCATCTTTGGTTTCCCAAGATTGATCTTCGTTCGGGTTATCATCAGACGAGTGTCAGAGAAGACGATGTGCAGAAGACGTCCTTCCAGACTCGTTATGCTCATTACAAGTTCGTGGTGATGCCCTTTGGGCTCACCAATGCTCCAGCTGCGTTCATGGACCTTATGTACCGCACGTTCCGACCGATGCTGGATCGGTCTGTGATTGTATTCATCGATGACATCCTGGTATATTCCAAGACCTAGGAGCTACATGAGGAGAACTTGAGGGAGGTGTTGGAGACCCTGAGGAGGGAGAGGCTGTATGCAAATTTCTCCAAGTGTGAGTTCTGGTTGCACGAGGTGCAGTTTCTGGGGCACCTTGTCAACCAAAATGGTATTCTGGTTGATCCAGCCAAGGTTGAGGCCCTGGTAAGGTGGGAGGTTCCGAGGTCTCCATCTGAGATTCGAAGTTTCCTTGGGTTGGCAGATTATTACCGGAGATTCATTTAGGATTTCTCCAAGATAGCGGTTCCCCTGACACGAATGACGAAGACGATTGCCACTTTTCGCTGGAGGCCTGAGCAACAGGCAACGTTTGAGATCCTGAGGTAGAGATTGTGCGAGGCACCGATTCTAACCCTGCCGAAGGGTGTTGAGGATTTTGTGGTTTATTGTGACGCATCTATCACGATATTGATTCATAGGGGTCGTGTTATTGCTTACGCTTCGAGGCAGCTGAAGCCCCATGAGGCGAATTACCCGAGGCATGATTTGGAGCTGGGGGATGTGGTTTTCGCCTTTAAGGTTTTGCGACATTATCTCTATGGGGTCCGATGTACTATTTACACGGATCACAAGAGCCTAAGGTACTTGATGGATCAGCCGAATTCGAATATGAGGCAACGTCGGGGGTTAAATGTAGTGAAGGATTATGATTGTGATATCATTTACCATCCAAGGAAGGCCAATGCGGTGGCCGATGCTCTCAGTTGTAAGGCGGTCGTGACTCCGATTAGGGATGTATGTATGAGGATGACAGTGATTAGTCCACTATTGGAGCAGATTCGGGAGGCTCAGGTTGAGGCTATGAAGGAAGAGCACCGAAAGAGTGAGCCCATAGTGGGTAAGGTGGCTTCCTTCGATTATGATAGCCGGGGTTTATTAAATTACCATAGGAGAGTGTGGGTTCCTTATTGGGGAGGTGAGCGTCAGGTTCTGATGGAGAAGGCGTACAAATGGAGATTCTCCATTCATCCCGGGGCGACGAAGATGTATAGAGATCTTCGTCCTGATTATTGGTGGCCCTGTATGAAGCGGGATGTTGCTTGGTATGTGTATAGGTGCTTGACTTGCATGAAAGTTAAGGCCGAACATCAACAACCTCACAACAAGATGCAACCGTTAGACATTCCAGTTTGGAAATGGGAAGAGATTACCATGGATTTTATTACGAACTTTCCTCGGACAGCGCACAAAGTGGATTCAATTTGGGTCATCATGGATCAATTGACCAAGAGCGCGCACTTTATTCCGATTCAGGAGAGTATCTCTGCGGAGAAGTTAGCTGACGTTTATATCAGTGAGGTTGTGGCACGACATGTGGTGCCGGTTTTGGTGGTATCAGACAGGGATGTCAGGTTTACTTCGGTGGTCTAAGACATTGTAAATTTGTTTTATAGCTTATTTGTTCTTGTAACCAAATTCTTTTTTATAAAAAAACTGGTGGTTTCGGTTCCTATTCCTAAATACTGAGAACCGATATAGTCGGTTCCGGTTCCGGTTCCGGTTCCAATATCTTAGAAACCGTCGGTTCCAGTTTTTTTTAAATTTAGGCAGGTACCCACCTATACTCATCCGTAGATAAAAGACTCGTGAGATTGATGTGAGGGGTCAAGGGTGGCTATATTTTTGGGAAGGAACTCCGGGATAATATGAAGCGCATGGATGCAAGTGAGACGTTACAGTGAAAGACCATTGTGAATTTGTTTTGTCTACCTTGAAGGAAGCAATCAGTATTGCAATAATGAATCTCATGAAGAGTTTGATCTAAGATCAGGATGAACGTTGGCGGTATGCTTAGCATATGAAAGTCAAACAAGAAGTGGTTTCCAGTGACGGACGGGTGAATAACGCTTAAGAACCTGCCCTTGGGAGGGAAACAATAACTGGAAACAACTGCTTATAATACTCTGTAGTTTGAGGAGCAAAAGGAGAAATCCGCTTGTGGAGGGGATCACGTCTCATTAGGTAGTTAGTGAGGTAATATCTTATCAAGGAGATGATTGATAGTTGGTCTGAAAGGGTGATCAACCGTACTAGGACCGAGACACAACCCAAACTCCTATAACATGCAGGCAATAGTAGGGAATTTTGCATGATATACGAAATCCTGATTGAACAATGATGTGCGGAGGTAGAAGGATTACGTGTCGTGAGCTTCCTTCCCAAAGAACAAACAATGACGGTATCTAGGGAATAAGCATCGACTAACTTTGTGCATGTACCCGCAACAATAAGAAGGATGCAATCATTATCCTACATGTGATGTTGTAAAACTTGGTCATGTTGGTTGAGTACTCGTTTAGTTACTTAGACTTGGCCACAAGCCCTCTCCTGAGGCGAGTTAAGCCTATTCGGCCAAAAACCACTAAGGACATGAGTCTATATATTACTTGTGTATAATCAACTTAGAGCATTATTTTCACCTTGTTAGAATTACATTTTTTCCATAGTTATTAACTTTGTTTATTAATTTAAACCATGCATTCAGCTTGATTTTCTTGAGATTAAATCGACCACAAATGGTCAATCTAATCGTTGCAGTTTGCCGAGCTACATAATTGTCCTTCGAATTTGGGTGCAACTATTTTATTGCTTTGTCTCTATTAGGAAAATATTTATCTGCATGTACTTCTACCAGTTTAGCATATATTAATACTTGATTTGCCAGAGTTTCTAAGTGCGTAAACCGTAAGCTAGCTAGATTTAGCAATATAAACAACATAGAAAATTAGTGTTAAATAAACCGCAGGATATCAAAATTATTTAAGGTAAAAGTAGAAATATGTTATTATTGCTCAGCATCCTTACCAACCAAAAGGAAAGGAGAGCGGAGATAAAATTCAAAGCTGACACTAGTAGCCTCATCATATATTTATGTTATCTCATACAATCTATGATATAATCTTACATTTTGTTCTAAACTTGTTTTAACTTAAAGCCTGCTTTATTACGTTAAGTTATAGTAGAAATTATTTATTGAATCAAACCCATAAAGCTCCAGCCCTGATGAGCATTGGCTTCAAATCCCTCTTCAGCTGAAGACTCATAATCTCATTAGTTCCACCGACCAACTTACCACCAATGAAGACAGCCGGGACCATACTGCACCCGAGCCCAGACAATGCCTGCTCAATCTCTCTGCTCATTGCTATCTCATCGAGCTCATAGACAGTAGGGTTCACACCCAAGTCATTGAAGAGAGACTTGATTGTGTAGGATAATATGCAAGAACTCTTACTGAAAATCACCACAGGCCTCTCAGAAACCATTATGTTGACTCGGTCCATGTATGTGATAGATAACTGAGAACTGTTAGTGATTGTATAGAATGTGTTCAATTTGGTTATTGAAGAGACTGCGTTCACCTTTTAGTATGAAAAGTGAGTGAGCATGGGGAGATATATAGGGTTTTTGAGGATGATATGTGGAGAAAAGAGAATGTTTTAGGTTGGTGACGGATAGAGAAATTAGGTTCTAAAGATGGGCTTCGCTACAAAGTTGACAGTGATATAATAGGAAAAAGTTGGTAGGCAGCGAATCTTTTTGCTACGGAAGGAGATATAGATATCTATGGCCAAGTGTTTATGCGTAGGGCTTCATATTCGATTCTTCAAGCATCTTTGTTCCAGATTTTTGTTGCCTTTCCAACAACGACTTTTCTTAACATAAAATTGTGTTATTTAATAAGTATAAGTTGCAAAAGTTCACATTTCTTTTTTATATTTTTAGTTACCTTCCGAGAAAGTTATATTTAAAAAGCCTTGCATCATGCACTTACACCCGAAAGTGTGATATATGAAGTCACAAACTCTAGTTTAGCATTAGAAAACTTATAATAATTCAACCAAATTGCTGTATTAGTTATTATCTTAAACATACGAAACCAAACAGGCAAACAGCGCATCTATTTTTTGATGGATTGGTGTTCACTGGTTCTTGTTTCTAGTTTATGGCAATATCCTTATTACATATATTTAGAAAAATATTTTTTCTTGTGATACTTGTCCTTCACATTATTTTCAAATATTAGGATGTATGGTTTTGCTTATATATATGGTTGTTATTGAATAGACTTGAGTAGTTGTGAGATGATGATATTAACTTTCAAGGGAAAGGTATAAGTTTTTATGTGATACCTTAATTATGGTAGATATCGGATGCCAACTTTTTTTAAGAGGATAGGAGAATCAAAATGAGAACAAAATAAGATAGTAAAAGAAAAAAGAACACAAATGTATGAACTGAATAATAAAAAGCAGAGCTACCATCCAAACAGATGAATCAATTAGTCGTGTTGGAATTAACTTAACGTACGGATACAAACATCATGAAATCCGAACTACTTTTAAAGATAGAAAACTTTACGTGATTCATCGCAGAGTTGTAAGTGGATTAATCAAATTCTTTTGTGGAAGAATGAGCGCCATCACTTTTAGTATGAATTACCACATTACTGCCAAGTAATACAGGAGATAGTAAGTGGGTTTTAAAAGGAAATAAAACACTTATTGATTTGATTTGGCTGCTGCTTGGTTCTTCTTAAGCCTATACCAAAATTAATTTTATTTACACTTTAGATCCCTAGCTATCTTTTATATTCTTTGCTCATTTGTTATTGTATACACTTTACACTAGGGATGAATGTGTCTCCATACCCGGCCCACATAGACCCAGACCCTATTAAACCCGAGGAGCGGTTAACGGGATTTTGTAGAATCGGAAACCGACCGGTATATAGCTAGGAACCGATTCTGGTTCGGTTCCAGGTAAGGTACCGGGTAAAGTGAGTATAGAGCAGGAAAACCCGGAAACATCAAAGTGGGTCGGGTGGAACCGGGTAGAGTGGGTCTAGAATCGGAAAACCCGAGAAAATCAGAATTTTTTGGTAATTACTTAGTGGATTGAACTTTGAAAAATTTTAGTTTTGATATTCCGATTTTGAAGGACTATAACTCAATGAATATTAAACTAAAAATAACAAAATTATTTGTTATATCATGTATAAACTCTAAACTACACGTTCGAAACAACCGCATGCTAATCCGATTTCAAACGAATTAGACATGCATGCTTTAAAACATTCACAGAACACAAAAAAAAACCCGAAAAACTGAAAATTTACAGCGTTGATATATCCCGACTTTAGGGGACAGTAAGTCAATGAATATAAAACCAAAAATGACAAAATTATAGTCTAAAATCATATAGAAACTCTAAACTACACGTTGGAAAAAATCGCATGCTAATCCGACTTTAAAAGAATTAGATATGTTTGTTTTAAAACATTCACAAAAAAAAAAAACTTAAAAACAAAAATTTTTATATTTGATATTCCGACTTTAGGAGGCTGTAATCAATGAATATGAAACCAAAAATAACAAAATTATAGATTAAAATCATGATACTCTGGAAAAAACCTCATTCCAATACGACTTCAAACGAATATATGCATGTTTTAAACTTTTCATAGAAATCAGTTCCGGTTCCTAACACCAATTCCGGGTCTTAAACCCGATTTACCCGGACCAAAGGACCGAAACCCGGATTACTCGGATCCCGGATAAAATCATTCTTTAAACTCGAAACCCATACCGGTTTTACATATTCTGGTTTCGTTTCCGGTTAGATTTTTCGGTTTTAAATCTAATCCCTAATTTACACCACCATTTTTTCTTTTCCTTTTATTGAGAATATATATTTTTTTGTCATATGAGCTATGCAGTTAATAGCACGCTATAACGATTCACGGTCTTAGAAAAAATAATTGTATCAAATAGCGGATTATATACCGGTGATGTTAATAACTTCGCGATTCACCGCAATTCTCGTTAACGTTATAGTGGTACTACAATCGTCATTGCTTGTAAGTCATTGTGGGTTTACTTGCCAAAAAGAAAAATAGTTTATAGGCTAAATCTGAATTTTTTTTTTATTTTTTAATAAGCCCAAAACAAAATTTTGAATTTCTTTTGTAGGTTGACCTAATTAGAAAGTAGAGGTATGTTCCTCTTTCGGAATAAATTGTCCACCACAAGGCTTTCCCCCAAGTTTGTTTTCTAAATTTGTTGGTATGTTTATATGTTATGACCTTATGCACTTATCAATAATCATGTTAGTACGTTATCAATTATCATGTTACTATGCTATGAGTTATGACATTCATCATGTTAGTATGTTATGACATTTACCTCTCTATTAGAATATATACTTATCAGTTATGAATTATCATCTTAATTCTGAATTTTTGATTGTGAACTTGTATTATTGTGAACGGTTGTGAATTGCATGAACAAAAAATTATGAAATGTTAGAGTGTTTTATGTTATGAACAACTGAATACAAGTCTATGAATATAAGAATTCTATAAAATGCGAAAAAAAAACTACTACGATTTCAAATAGTGGCTATTGACGATTATTGGAATTTGGACTGCAATAAATTGATAGCATAAGAGTACCTTGAATATTTTTATAGGCACCTTTTTATTGTGATTTGATTTTACATTAGTTTTAAGCTGTGTTTTTGTTCTTCTAATTAATGAGTTGATAACATATTTAAAACGAGTTAGTGGTGTAAAGAATGATCAAAGGAAAAAAAATATTAAAATGAAGGACGTATGGACAAAAAATGATGGTGTAATCAACAAAAGAAAAGAATGGGAAGTATATTTGGCATAATTGGCTTAGGAAGAAAGAAGCCCAAAAGAAATTAAAATCCAATATATATATATATATATATATATATATATATATATATATATATATATATAATATATATATTATATATATATTATATATATAGAGAGAGAGGAGAGAGAGAGAGAGAGGGAGGTGAGAGAGAGAGAGAGAGGTAGATGTTTAAAATAATTATTGTGTTATTGTATGCATAAATATGGACCAACCAATCTAAAACCTAGATAGGGGTAAAATTGTAATTTTAGCTTTTAATTAATTTTGGTAATTAATTATTCAAATTATAAACCCTTTAATTTAGGCAAAATCGTTTACATTTACCGCTTTAAAACCCTAGATAGAAAACATCGACCTTCTTCCTCGTTAACTTCAATCCCACCGACGCAGAGGGGCGGGATGGCCATAGGAGTTCCTGCTCGTACACACTCCTCGTACACAGTCAACATTATCAATCCCCAAATCCCAAGATTGCTCCAACCTCCAGGAATTAAGTGAAGTTGTTGCGCCAGAACCAGAAGAGAGTAAGCCGAGAGCTGCTAAACAGCCCATTGCTTCCCCCACCGAGATCGACGGCGGCTGCTTCGTCGTCCTCCTTTCTTCAAATCAACTCCGCACCAGAGGCGATCATTGATTCGTGTGTTGATTTCTGACCAACATTCGTTCGTTATCACTCGATTAATCGAGGATCGAAACCCCTCAACTGATTTATGCCTCCGATTCTTTCTAGCCTCCATATAGGCGTTTACGGATACTGGTGTTGAGGAAGAAGAAATACATGGTAAGATTTATGGTATTTTCATGTTCTGATTTTGTAAGTATTTTCATATTCTTTTTTTGATTTTTTTCATGGAAATATTTCTCGTGAACAGTAATTATGTGATTCTAACAAATCATGGCGGTTCAGAAATCTTAAAGAACACAAAAATAATTCTATGAGAATATTGCACACCAGGTGTTTGTAGAAATGTCTGAAAGAGAACTTGATGTTCAAATTCTTGAAGAACACAAAAATATTTTATGAGTTCGTTATTTGTGTTACTTGATTTTAACATGTAGTATGAGTTCTCTTAGAGTTACTAAAATTTGTTTTATTTTTTCCGTATAAAAGCATTCTCACATAGTTTTATTCTTACATAATTCATTTTCATGACAGTTATTCTCATAGAATGAATGAAGTACATGATGATCAATGACCCGAAGGTTGGATGAATGCTGTGGGATAGACATGAAACTCCTCAATGGTCACCGATCTTCCAGAAAAATGCACTACTCATTGTTCATATTTTTGTTAGATTATTTATAATAGAATGATAAGAGTATATGTAATAGTATATTCAATAGAATAATCTACATATTATATTTGTTTGTTATTAGGGAGTGTTTCATATTATAGAAAAAATATAAAGTTTTTTATTTTTTCAAGGTGTGATAAAAAATTTAACTTGTATCTAAAAATTTGTTATTCTGCGAGAAGTAAGAGTAAGTCTCTTATTAGTTATGGCTTGCATTTTCATAGAATATCATTATAAAAAGAATGTCATTCTGACAGAAAAAAACGGGGTATGATTAAAATTACGGTAGAGTATTTAAAAAAA